TTCAACTCACTACAGCCCTCTTCAAGTCTTGCTCAAGTACTGTCTTCCTCCCCTACCACCATACTGAAAGTTGCTCCTTCCGCCGATATCCTACTGACCGTCCTTACCTGCACCATGCCAGCACAGTCTACTTTCTAATTCTGTTCGTGCCTGTCTCCTCATCCCCATTAGAATGTCAGCTTCATGGGGTGGGAGCTTCCCCTGTTGTGTCCTCTGCCATAGCCCAGTACCCAGAACAGGGCCAGGAACACAGAAGACGCTCATTACGTATGTGTTGGTTGATGGGCAGGCCATGCCCTCTCTCTGGGCCTTGTTCTCCCCATTTTAAAACAAGGAGATGGCACTGATGTTCCTCATCCAGTCCCGATACTTGTGGGTTCACCCCCACTGGCTCTCAGGTCACACAGTCCAGACCAGGGGCACTGCCCACCCTGCCCAACATTCTCGTGAAGTTGACTGGTGGCAAACCAGAGTGTCTCTCTTTCCGCCATGAACTAAGATGTGTAAGAACTACTTTGTCTTGTCATTGAAGTCCAGAGGTAAAAAGGGAGGAAGGAGAAAAGCCACTTCTGACCCAGCCCCAGCCTCCTTTCCTCCCGCTGGCCAGAGAAACGAAGCAGAGGTACCACCTCTGAGATGCTCTCTTCCTGTGAGCCCTGGATGGTGTCAGGTGGAGTGATCCCAGGTTGGGCCTGAGACCAGGCAGGGCCAGGTGAGCACTGTGCAAATCCATGTGTGTCCCATCAAACATAGGTCTCCACAGGGAGCCTTCATAGGGGGCGAGGGGTGTCACAGGGGTGACATGAGACAAAGCCGCAGGCAGGTTGGGAGTGAAGCAGCCACACCTCCCACCTGTCCTGCCTCCAGTTCCGAGTCAGGACTTTCCTCTCCTCAGTGTCCAAGCTGAACCCACCATGCTTAGCTCCCGCCCTCCACACTCGCCCCATGTGCTGGGCTTGACAAAAGGGCCTGTTCCCTCTCGGAAAGTTGAGACCTTTCTAGAGGACACAGCCCTCTGTGCAGGGTCTCCAGCCAGCCGGGGGTGGGGGGCTTCATTAAGCTAACACACCTCTGACCATCCACGGAGGCCCTCAAGAGAGAAGACAGAAGCTAAGGGGTCAGGAATGCGGGGCCCAGAGCAGCAGTGCAGTCTGTAGGATCCAGGCTAGGTGGGGAAGCGTGGGTATACCACCTTGAGCCCGTCCCCTGGGTCAATGAGCCTAAATCCTGCCTCTTATTATAACAAAATAATCAACATTATCCCCCTTTCCTGTGTATAAATCAGGCTAATCAGTAATATAACTTACTACACACATAGTCCAAATCATGCCCTACGTGTAGTATATTGGGGAAATAAAAGAGTAGCCTATACTAAAATATACGTTTCAGTATGAGAACTTTTGTGGAGAGGGTAGTGCTGCCTGGCTGAGAACCACTGACAAAGTAGATAGGGATGTCACACTGGTTTGTCACTGCTGTTTGGTCATCTGGCTTCCCCACTGGGGGTGGGGACCGTGCCATGCCCACCACTGCCTCTCCACTGCCTAGCGCCACTTCCAGCACACGGCAGGTGCTCGATAAATACTGGTGGAGGAATGGATAAATGACTGAATAAAGAGCTCAGTCCCTGGTGAGATGTGCTGATGGTGTCAGGGGTGGGAATGAGGTTATTGACAGGGCCCTCTGTGAGCACATGGAGGGGCCTGGGAGCCCTGTGCCACTGAAATCTCAGGCGTGTGGGTGGTAGGCAGTGGGACACACACGCACTCGCTCCTATCGGCATCTCTGCCTCTCCCAGCTACCTGCACACTCCTCCAGGCTCTCGTCGTCCTGTCTCCCCCTCGGCACCCAGTACAGCGTCTGGCACAGAGTGGGTGCTCAATAAATACCCGTTGAATTCAACGCATCTCAATTCAACAAACATTTATTGAGTGCTCACAGTATTGAGTGTCACAGTCCCACCTTCCTTGTGCGCCCTACAGAAGAACATCCCTGGGGGTGCAGCGGGCACGCCTTGCTCTGTGCAACCACTCTGCTCACTAAACGCTTTGTGCAAATCGAAAGGTGCCAGTGGACTCACAGTGGAGACTCCTGGCTGAGATTCAAAGGAACCCTGAGAAAAGACAGTGGATAAGCCTGATCCCGAGAGCTGCCCATCCTACCTGGATTCCCACAGGCTGCACAGAGCAGGGCATGCCTGGCCCCATGCACGGCCGGCAGCCCAGGTCCTTGCTGCTGTCTCCAGGCACACTGGGAAGCAGGTTAGCAGCATCAGTTGCAATGGTTAGGCACAGTGGGCATCCCACTCAGAGGAAAACGCAAAGGAAGGACAGAATCAGAATCACAGTCATCGTAAACATCAGTAATGGGGATGTCACACACTCGACACTGTGTGTGCTTTGGTCGAAGCTTCCCAGTTAAATCAGGGATTCCAGCAGGCCGGACGCACCCCTGTGGAAGCCCTCGAATACTCACCGTGCTTGCATGCCCAACTACAATTGCATGCCCATGTGCGCTCACATGCCCACCTGCAGTCATAATAATGATGTGGCAGTCAGCAACGAAGTTGACCAGCAAGCCCTTGCAGATGTATGACTGGCCAACGAAATCACTTGGCACAGCCTCCAGCCCCTGAGGTCAGCCACCTGTCGGGCCCAGGTGGTCCTTGTTCCCGGTGTTTGCAGGTGAGGAAATGGAGCACTGAGGTGAAGACCACACACACACACACACACACACGCACACACGCGCGCACACGCGCGCACGCACACGCGCACACACGCGCGCACGCACACGCGCGCGCACACACGCGCACACACGCACGCACGCGCGCACACACACACGCACGGTGGCAGGCAGGTCCCCACGGGCCAGCCCATCTCCAGCCCAGCTTCCCCACATCATGCCCCCTACCTCCCTCAGCCCAAGTACAGGCAGGCCACAGACTGAGCAGGAGTCCTGGGGGTGCAGTCAGCCTCCCTGAGGGGGTTCAGGGGCAGGTGGAGGCACTGCACCAGCCTTGCAGATACAGGCCTGCCCATCACCCAGCAGGGAAGGCCTGCAAGTTGGAGATAGCACCCTGGACACCATTTCCCAAGAGCTGTTGGTCCTCACCGCTAACGCCCCCAGGCCAGGACACTAACCAAGGTGGGGAGGGGCTGAGCTGCTGCTGAGCTGGTAAGACAAGAGCCTGTTATTACTGTTGCTGGGGGCAGTGGAGCCTATTTCGACTCATAGCGGCCCCATGTGACAGGGTAGAACTGCCCCATAGGGTTCCCTAGGCTGTAATCTTTATGAAAGCAGATCTCCAGGTCTTTCTCCCATGGAGCTGCTGGTTGGGCTCGAACCACCAACCTTCGGTTAATAGCCCAACGCTTATCCATTGGGCCACCAAGGCTCAAGAGCGTGCAACCTTCAAAACACAGTGACTGTTCATTAGGAAAAAGCGAATGCAAAGCAGAAAGGCCCATCAGCGCAGCCAATGGCCTCAACCACACGCAGGTGCGGTCTGCTCGTGGCAATGGGTGCTGGGAGCAGGAGGGGGGTAAAGACTGGCTTGCTGCCCCCCGACGGCAGACTGGAAGACACAGGCTGGCAGCAATACCCCATGAGTCTCCTGCGACCCAGCCCCTATAGCCCCCAACCCTGCCTACCAGTGAGATGGGGGGCCCTCCACACCCCATCCCGACCACTCCAGAAGGAGCAAGCCACGATCTTGGAAGACCCTCTGGGGTTCTTTTCTCAGGGTGACTGTGTTCACCTGCTCTGAGATCCCAGTGCTGGGACCCCAGTAGGGATGGAGGCGTTAAGGGGAGAACGACATCTGCTTACAAAGATTGCACACAAAACAATACACCTTTCTATGTTTCGTGTTATTTTTCAAACAATCACGATTGGCAAGCTTCTTCCGTTTTCTCTCTCTTTCCTCGCACATGGAGCAGTAGAGCCACACTGGAACGCGCACAACCTTCATTTGCAAGAAGGTTTACAGGGTATTGTCATGAGGATGATGATGAGGATGGTGAACGTTACCATTTACTGAGCGTCTGCTACGGGCCAGGCAGGGCGCCAATGTGTGCAGGTGGTGTTACGGCTGTCAAGTCTATTAACAACCCAGCAAGCCTGCCAGCATCACCCCACCATCCCTCCATCAGTGGCGGAGGCTCAGTGTTGGAACCCAGCTTTGAACTCAAGTCTGACCCACTGCAAAGCCGCCATCTTCCTTCTGCTTTCTCATACCCACACTCATCCCCTCTCGGCCTCTGCTGCCAGCTAAGCCTCAAGCTTTGCCCACGGAAAAACCCCACGCACAGTTGAGAGCACCAAGTCCATTGCCGGGAGACACTGGGCGAGCCTGGCTGTGGTTCGCTGTTGGTTACCTATGGTTACCATGGTTACCTATAGTTGGATTACCTACAGTTTATTTCATCTTGAAACAAACAACATTATCTGGATATCTGCTCTGCGTTTGAAAAGCAAGCCTACTTCAGTCTTCACGACACCCCTGGGAGCCAGGCAGACACTACCACCATCTCCTGTGGGGGATGAAGGTGTCAAGACCCAAACAATCGCGTCCCTGGCCCAGGCGAGCCACGGGAGGTCGGGACCATGCCCTGTCATCGACGCCGAGTCTGGTCTTGCCCACCTGGACCATGCTCAGGGCTGTGCTGCAGGGGAAGGGGGCCTGCACGTCTAAGCCAGCAGGCTTGGGAGCGTTTCTCTAGAAAGAGCCGGGAGCCAGGTTGGCTCAGCCGCTGTCTTGCAGCCCCGGGAGTGTTTAAGGAGACACGTGGTGACACCAGCTTTCGGCACACTGGCTAATGTCAGTCCCAGGACATTGGCCAACACCACGAGGGTTTGGGCTCACGTTCAGTTTGCTCTTATCTTGGTTGTCTTGCTCTTATATTTTCTAAGGAGCAAGGCTTAGATTTGGGGGGTCGGCTCGGAGCCGTGGGGCCCCTTTACTGCGCCAATGACACTCCTTGCTCAAAAGAACCACTCACGTGAGTAAAAGGTGTCGCCCGGCATTCTCTGGAGGGGTTCTCTGTCTGTCCCGCTACTCTGTGACAGAGACTGGCTGTCCAGGTCTGGAGAGGTTGTCCTCGTGTCCGTGTCCCCCTTGAGAATCAGCCAGCTGGTCTTCTGCGGAGGGAAAACAAAGTGCCGTGTGACCTGGGAGGCCATTTGCAATGGTGGAAACATCTCGTCAGCCCCTTCTGGATGCTGCCAGCTTCTAATCTACAGGCCGACTCCACGGCAGCAAAGCCCAATGTGTGAAAAATACAGGTTTAAATGAAACACTCCAGCTTCTGGTGTGGCCAGTCCAGATTCTTCTGGGGACCTGAATCGGGGGGAAATGACGTCACCACACTTTACAGAGGAGGGAACTGAGGTTCCGGGAGGCCAAGGGACCCACAGGGTTTCTCCCGGGGAGAAAGAGGTGAGGTCAGCCAGAACAGACGGCCTTGGGTGCTTCCCACACACATCTGCCTTCCTTAGAGACCCGTGAAGGCGGCCTCGGCTCTAAAATTGTTGGCACTGGCTGCTTTCGAGCTGGGTCCCGACTCACGGTGACCCCACACACGACAGAACAAAACACTGCCTGGTCCTGTGCCATCCCCACATTGTTATCTACAGAGTTCTCATTGGCAGATTTTTGGAAGTAGATCACCAGGCCTTTCTTCCTGGTCCGTCTTAGTTTGGAAGCTCTGCTGAAACCTGTTCAGCATCACAGCAACACACAAACCTCCATGGACAGACAGGTGGTGGCCGCGCACGAGGTACATTGGCCACGAATCGAACCCAGGTGTCCTGCATGGAAGGTGGGAATTCGACAGCTGGACCACCACTGCCCCTTCATGGCCTGCAGCCTGCTTTTGTAATTAAAGCTTTATTGGACACAGCCACGCCTGCTCATTCACGAATCGTCTGCGGCTACTTTGCAGAGATGAGTGCGGCCGCAAAGCCTGAAATATTTACCCTCTGGCCCTTTATAGAAAACATATGCTGAGTTCTTTTCTAGAACAAGAGTCCCTGGATGGTGCAACTGGTTCACAGATCAGCTGCCAACTGAAAGGCTGGAGGTTCAAGTCCACCCAGAGGCACCTCAGAAGAAAGGCCTGGCCATCTAGTTTGGAACAATCAGCCGTTGGAAACCTATGGAGCACAGTTCTGCTCTGACACACACGGGGTCATCACCAGCAGGAGTCGACTGACGGCAGCTGTTAAATGAGGGTAGTGGCGGCTCAGTGGTAGAATTCTCGCCTTCCGTGGGGGAGACCCGGGTTCAATGCCCGGCCCATGCACCTCATGCACAGCCACCACCTGTCTGTCAGTGGAGGCCTGTGTGTTGCTGTGAGGCTGAACAGGTTTCAGTAGAGCTTCCAGACTGAAAAAGACTAGGAAGAAAGGCCTGGTGATCTACTTGCAAAAAATCAGCCTTTGAAAATCCTGTGGATCCCCAAATAAATAAAGTGTTACTCAAGAAGAAGAACAAAGTGGGAGGCCTCACACTACCTGATTTTAGGACCTATTATACCGCCACGGTAGTCAGAACAGCCTGGTACTGGTACACCAACAGAGACACAGACCAATGGAACAGAATGGAGAATCCAGACATAAATTCATCCACCTATGAGCAGCTGATATTTGACAAAGGCCCGAAGTCCTTTAATTGGGGAAAAGACAGTCTCTTTAGCAAATGGTGCTGGCACAACTGGATATCCATCTGCAAAAAACTGAAACAAGATCCATACCTCACACCATGCACAAAAGCTAACTCAAAATGGATCAAAGACTTAAATATAAAATAGAAAACGATAAAGATCATGGGAGAAAAAATAGGAACAACACTAGGAGCCCTAATACATGACATAAACGCAATACGGACCATAAGTAACAACGCACAAGCACCAGAAGAGAGACTAGATAACTGGGAGCTCCTAAAAATCAAACCTTATGCTCATCAGAAGACTTCACCAAAAGAGTGAAAAGACAACCTACAGACTGGGAAAAAAATTTTGGCTACGACAAAGCCGATCAGTGTGTAATCTCTAAAATCTGCAATACTGCAAAACAAAAAAAAAAATACAACAAAAAGACAAATAACCCAATTAAAAAATGGGCAAAGGATATGAACAGGCACTTCGCCAGAGAAGATATTCAGGCAGCTAACAGACACATGAAGAAATGCTCATGATCATCAGCCATTAGATAAATGCAGATCAAAACTACAGTGAGATATCATCTCACCCCAACAAGGCTAGCATTAACCAAAAAAACACAAAATCATAAATGCTGGAGAGGTTGTAGAGAGACTGGAACACTTATACACTGTTGTTGGGAATGTAAAATGGTACAACCACCTTGGAAAGTGATTTGGTGCTTCCTTAAAAAGCTAGAAATAGAAGTACCGTACTGTCCAGCCATCCCGCTCCTTGGAATATATCCTAGAGAAATAAGAGCCGTCACACGAATAGATACATGCACACCCATGTTCATTGCAGCACTGTTCACAATAGCAAAAAGATGGAAGCAACCTAGGTGCCCATCAACGGACAAATGGATAAACAAACTATGGTATATCCACACAACGGAATACTACGCAACGATAAAGAACAACAGCGAAGCTGTGAAACATCTTACAACATGGAGGAATCCGGAGGTCATTATGCTGAGTGAATTTAGTCAGTCACAGAAGGACAAATATTGTATGAGACCACTATTATAATAACTCAAGAAAAGGTTTAAACACAGAAGACAACATTCTTTGATGGTTACGAGGGTGGGGAGGGAGGGTGAGGGTTATTTACTAACTAGATAGTAGATGAGAATTATCTTAGGTGAAGGGAAAGACAGCACACACTACAGGGGAAGTCAGCACAACTGGACTAAACCAAAGCTAAGAAGTTTCCTGAATACGATCAGACACTTTGAGGGACAGAGTAGCAGGGGTAGGGGTCTGGGGACCCTGGTTTCAGGGGACATCTAGGTCAACTGGCATAACAAAGCTTATCAAGAAAATGTTCTGCATCCTACTTTGGTGAGTGGCATCTGGGGTATTAAAAGCTTGTAAGCGGCCTTCTAAGATGCATCAATTGGTCCCAACCACCTGGAGTAAAGGAGAGTGAAGAACATCAAAGACAAGGAAAGTAGTAGACCAAGAGACAGAAAGGGCCATATAAACCAGAGACTTCATCAGCCTGAGACCAGAAGAACTAGATGATGCCCGGCTACCACCAATGACCGCCCTGACAGGAAACACAACAGAGAGTCCCAGATGGGGCAGGAGAAAGGTGGGGTGCAGAACTCAAATTCTAGGAAGACCAGACTTAATGGTCTGACTGAGACTGGAGGAACCCCAGAAAGCATGGCCCCTGGATTCTCTATCAGCCCAGAACTAAAACAATTTCAGACAGGGATTGGACTGGACTGTGGGACATAAAGTGACACTCGTGAGGAGTGTGCCTCTTAGCTCAAGTAGATACAAGAGAGTAAACGGGCAGCTTCTGTCTGGAGTTGAGATGGGAAGGCAGAGAAGGTCAAGAGCTGGTTGAATGGACATGGGGAATCAGGGGTGGAAAGGAGGAGTGTGCTGTCACAGTATGGGGAGAGCAATTAGGGTCACATAACAATGTATGTATAAATTTTTGTATGGGAAAAAATTTTAAAAATTATATAATTAAAAAAGAAAATCCTGTGGATCACTGTGGTCTACTCTAACACACACGGGGTCTCTGTGAGTTGGAGTCGACTCAACGGTGATTGCTTTTTCACTGGTTCATGGAGCCCTGGTGGTGCAGTGGTTAAGAGCTCAGGCTGCTAACCAAAAGGTCAGCAGCTGGAATCCACCAGCGGCTCCTTGGAAACCCTGTGGGGCGTTTCTACTCTGTCGTAGAGGGTCGCTATGAGTAAGAATCGACTCGACAGCAACGGGTAAGAACAATCATCCCGGGTGCCCTGAGCACAGATTTTGATTGATTACCATTCCTTCTGACGTCTCCTCCTTGCACACCCAGCAAGTTACTGGCAGGTAACTAGCACGCTGGTCCTAGTCCTCAAAGTTAGAAGCCTGGGTAAACCGCCCTCTAAAGTGGCCCTGCCCCACGTGGCCACGAAGTCCCTTGAGGAACAGGCCGGAATGCACAGAGCCTGAAGCCTCAGACAGGAGAAGCGCCAGCGCCCGGGTTGCCTCCCGGACGAGGCCGCTTCCGAGCACGGCCGGCCACTGTCATTACCTTCCTGTCGTCCCGGTCGGAACTCCCGCCCTCTCCGTCCGAGGACCTGGCCGCTGGAAGAGAAAAATCCGGTTGTAAAAGGAATCCCCACGTAGCCTGGGTTCAGACGTCCCGTCTCGCACTTTACAATTACACTCAACCAAATACCCAAGAAAAAAGGGTCACTAGGACGGGCACCGTGTAGGGGCAGAGGAAACAGCTGGAAAAGGCCTCTGGGAACCTGCACCTTAAAGGTTTCCTGAGATCAAATACAGGTAGTTGAAGACGCCCATTTAAATTCCAGCAAAATGCACCCCAGCCCCCCAGGAGTGTTTTTTGACGCAGTCACCGGCATTGCTAAGGACACATGCTCAACCTTGAGAGACTCAGTGTCACAGAGGCCCCCATTCCAAGTCAGGTCGAGGCAGACCCCGCCCAGCCATTTCACAGATCAGGAAACTGAGGCTCAGAGAGACCAAGGGCCCTGCTCAGGGTCATGGGTTTCGGGTGGCAGAGGCCGACCCTTGAACGTGGGCAGTCTAACTGGAGTCTGTTCTCTCCCTGCCCCCCCTCACTGCCTGCCACTCACAGAACACAAAACCCGGACAGGCACACTGCCGGAAACCATCTACCAGGAGCAGGAGGGCTACTGCCGAACACAGCCGTAAAGAAGCTCTGAGAAACGGAGCCAGCAAACGCTCGTTCGCCAAGGATCCGCTCTGGAGCTGAGTAACGCGCTGTCTGTCTTCTGCAGTTGCCTTCCTTGGGGAGTTGTTACCCGGCCAGGGGACATCATTTCCGACCGAGAAGGACAATGAAATGATCACGAATGAGAGGCTGGCCTTTCTCGGCATCCCTGGGCTCAGAAAGCCCCGTCCTGTGCACCTTGGCTGAGAACAGCCCCATGCACAGGGTGATAAAGCAGAAACCCATCGTCTCCTTCCCTGCGCGCCATGGGGCGCCTCGCTCTCCTGTGTCAGGCGCGCAGAGGGGGGCTCTTACCTGTCGCAGGCGGAGGGCTGGGACCTCTCAGTCTTTTCGAGCACCCTGCCTCCTGCACCACCAAGGACAAGACGGATACCAGGCCCGAGAGCTTGGACATTTGGGACTGGGCTACCGGACCTTGACAGGGGGCCAAAATGGAAGACTGAGTAGTTGAGTCCTGGATACGTGTACATCTCTTTACGCTCAATGGTTACCTGCGTCTCCTTCATCCAGGAGACGGTGATTTTCGATGGGAAAACGGTCCCCGCTCGCTCCCTGCACCGTAGCAATGAATGGCAAGCCCCAGGAAGAGCAGGGATGGAGAGGCAGGGGGGGCACTCACTGGTGGCCCCGACAACTGGCTGTCGCTGGGCAGTGGAGCCCTTGAGGGTCTGTGTGGCCATTCATCAGCCGTGGCTCTGGGAAAAGCAGGGTCACTGCTACATGGAGCTCCAAGACCACTGCCACCGTTCACCCAAGGGTGGCTCCCAGGGCCAAGTCTGCCGGGAAAAGTAAACCAACTACCTCCTTGAAAAGCCCTCAGAGGCCAGAGACAGACCGGCACCCTTGGGACAATTTGGAAGTGCAACACCATCAGGTGGCTCCAACCCGAGGGCTGTTTGGGACCTGAGGTTGCAGCCCCTGGAGCTCAGGGAATCCAGAGGTCGCCCTGGGCTCGAGGACGGCAGGTTGGGCTGGACATTCTGGCTGTCGAGCTATCTCAGGGTCAAACATGGCCCCAACGTCTGACGAGCGGGGTATTCGGCAAATTTTAATCACTTTCCCTCGGCAAAAGCCACGAGATCCACTGAGAACAAGGTTTAACCAGACTCAAAAACAAGGACTTTGGCCAGCCTGCAAAACACACAGCTGATTCTCTTGAGAATTCCTGTGCAGGAATATAGGAATCGGGCATTGCCATTATTGGCTTCCTTCCTCAATAGGGCTGAGCCTCAGTTTCCTAACCTGTAAAATGGGCACGTGGTGCCTCCCCCTCCAGGTTGTCTGTGGACACAAGAACGTAACAGAGAGCTCAGCTTGTAGGTTGTAGAAATTAGGAGCAAATAACAGGAAGATTCTGAGGCTAACCTGTAGCTGCTTTGAGATCCCAGTAAAGACGATCAATTCCAGACAACCAGAGAAGACAGTTGCTTTTGAGCCCTGAGATGTGCATCCCTTAGTTGGAAGCACCCCAATGAAAGTGAGGGGTCTCTGATTTCTTTTTGGATATAGCGCCTGCCTGCCTGCCTGCCTTTCCTCCTTCCCACACCCCATCTTTCAATTCACACACATCTGAACGTCCATGAGTGCATGCAGCTCTTTAACTGCTCAGTTTTATCTATTTCCATCCACTCATTCATCCATCCACCCATCCATCCCTATCATTCATTCATCCACCCTTCTTCCACCCATCCATCCATCCATCCATCCATCCAACCATCATCCATCCACTCATCCATCCATCATCCACTCATCTATCTATCCTATCATCCAGCCATCCACCCACCCACTCACCCATCCATCCATCCCTATCATCCATCCACCCTTCTTTCCTTCCACCCATCCATCCATCCATCCATCCGTCCATTCACCCATCATCCACCCACCAATCCATCCACCCATCATCCACCCATCCATCCACCCATCATCCACCCATCCATCCATCCATCCACCCACACATCCATCCATCCACCCACCCATTCATCCTTACCTCCCCTTTGCCCATTCACGCATCTGTTTGTCCATCCAGCCCTTTATCCATCTACCCCTCCTTCATCCACTGTCCATTCTCCAGTCAGCCCTCCAACCTTTACACCCACCTCCCTTCACCAACAGCCCAGGGTGCGCCTGTATTGTCCTACGTTTGGGGGATGCAACATGCCTCAGACCTGGCCCTTATCTTTCAAGAGCTCACAGGCTAAGGGGTGGAGGCAGACAGGTGGATTATATGGGTTACAACAAGTGCTTAGATGTGGGGAGCAAAGTCAGCACAGAAGCATTGCCCAAGAACACCCATGTGGCGAGCACTTACTGAATTTCTACATTAGCAATCACCAGCATCTTAAAATTCCTCACTGGGCTGGCTGTGTGTGAAGCTTGGTAAACATCTGTTAGATGCATCAATAGAGACCAGCAGGCATTATGACCCCGTTTCACGGAGCCAAGGTCGCAGAGTTGGGCAGATGGTCATGGGAACCTTGCTGGGCCCAGCTCTGAGGCCCGAGCTGGAATCGCTTTGCTCTGCCTGTCCACTGAGGCCCAGGACTGCCCACGGCTGATCCCATCACCACGACCTGGCACAGATCTACTCCCCGATCAGCTAACAGCAAATGCCTATAGACCAGCCAGTCTGAGGCACGTTGTCCCTTCTCCAGGGCCTGATGTGGTGACTGCCCACAGCAGGGGCATGAGGAAGTGGACAGGATGGACACGCATAGTAGGTCCCATGTCTCCAAAAGGGGGGGCCCTCAAGCCTGGGCTGTGCACCTTCCATCCTTCGGACCCAGCCGACAACAGGGCAGGGCTACACACGGCGTGCCTGGAACACACGCATGTGTGCACATGCCCACACATGCCCACGTGTGCACACACACACATGCTTGTGAATGCACACTGCACACCCACGCACACATCCCCACATGTGCACACAGACACACGCTCACACATGCACTTCTGACAGAACACATTCTACTTGGGTAGGGAGAAATCTTGTTTAAAAAAAGAAAGACCCCACCTCAAATGCATTGGAAACCAAATGCAATCTAACATCCATGGTTTTGGGGGGAGCTCTGAGGAAACCTGGACAAGAAGAGCCCACGTCTGGGGGAAAGCCTCAATCCACGGCTCATAGGATGAAGTCAGGGGCAGAGCTTATTCCCGTGAATCCCCAGAACGTGGCTGTGTGCTTGGCAGATAGCAAGCAATGTATACATCTGCTTCATAAAAGATTCAATATTGCAAAAGTCTGGAATGATCAAAGGGTTTTGGTAATCGCTTGGGGTCAGTCAAACAGGAATTAACTAGCCTCCGGCTAGGAGATTCATTTGTACCCTGAGTGAAAAATGTCACAGACAATGTCCTGGCACTAACAAAACCTAATCTCTCTGGGCAATTCCATTAAAGGCCATAATGCCAGAAGGTCATTCCTGCTTAGATCTGGCTCAGTCAAACGCCTGGGAACAACCTCATAATGGGATTTACTCCCCTCCTGGGGGCCGATCCTCCGTTTGAAGGTGCTGGCCTGAGACACAGAACGTGGCAGTGGCAAATCAGAGGCAGTCAGCCCCACGAGGGACGAGCAGAGGCCGCACGGCCCCCACGCAGGGTGTCACGCGAGCGCCACTGAACATGGCTGCCCCTCCCCTAGGTTGGCCTCAGTGTCCTCGCTCATAAGACAGGGAGCTGGGCTGGGCCCTCTCCGAGGTCTAAGGAGTCGAACTAGCCCCTGTCACCCGAGCCCTCTGGAGGGTCCTGCTCTGAGCGTCTCCAGTTGAGAGGTGGTGGTAGAAGTCACCACCTCCTGTGCTTCCAGGAGAGTTCACTCCATGTTTTACGTCTCGGGAGAGGAAGAGCTACCCAAATCACAGGGCCGACCTTGACCGAGGAGGGAAGAAGACACTGTTGGCATAAGGAGACCACTGATTTGCAAGCAAGCCACAGAGAGCACACTTTGCTGGGGCTCCACCTCAAAGTCCCCGCCCTGCCGGCAAAGTGGGACGTGGCTGCTTTCTGCGCGTGCGTCTGGACAGGGACTCGGAAATACGGAAGTCCCTCTTGCCGTCTCTGCAGCGGCCTGATAACCAGCCCCACCGCGTGCACCGCACAGTTTAGAGCGTGTCTCCACATTCATCACTCCGTCCCATCCTCACAACCGGTCCGTGAAATGGGCAGGTGGGGCGGGGGGGGGGGGGGGGGGCAGTGGAAAAGGAGGCCGGGTGGCACAGTGGTTAAGCTCTCTGCAGCTAACCAAAAGGTTGGTGGTTCAAACCCACCAGCCGCTCCATGGGAGAAAGCTGCGACAGTCTGCTTCCGTAAAGATTAAACAAAGAAACAAAAAAACCCAAACCTGTGGCTGTCAAGTTGATTCTGCCTCACAGCGACCCTACAGGACAGAGGAGAACCGCCCCACAGGGTTTCCAAGGAACGGCTGGTGGATTCGAACTGCCGACCTTTTGGTTAGCAGCCATAGCTCTTAACCACTGCACCACCAGGGCTCCCTATAAAGATTACGGCCTTGGAAACCCCGTAGGGCAGTTCTACTCTGTCCTGTAGGGTCGCTATGAGTCAGAATCTGCTCAGCGGCAACAAGTTTGGGTTTGAGGAGGTAAAAAAAAACGAACAGACCCAGCCAGTTGCCATCAAGTCGACCGTGACTCGTGGCAACCCCATGTGTGCAGAGGAGAACTGCTCCACAGAGCTTTCGATGGCTGTGGGCTTTTGGAAGCAGATTGCCCAGCTTTTCTTCCGAGGCCCCTCTGGGTGGGTCTGAACCGCCAACCTTTCGGTTGGTAGTCGACCACTTAACTGTTTGCATCATCCAGGGCTCCTAGGTGGGGATGTGGGTCCCATTTTACAGGGGAGGAAATGGAGGCTCAGAACAGTGAAGCAGCGTGCCTCAGCTCACTGGAAATTCAGCGAAGAAACAGAGACCTCGGCCTTCTGCTCCCTGTGCACCCGTCCCAGGTAAGCTCAGGTGAGCAGAGGTGGGTGGTCACCTCCGTGAGGGAAGCCAGGGGGCTGAGAGATGCCCTTGCTGCCAAACAGCGCCAGGCCCTATTTGCAACAACTCCCTTTAGCTGAAGACGAGGCGGCTCATTCTACCGTCAGAAACAGTCTGCAGATGCAGAACTCTAAATTCCCACTAAGGAATAAGGGACTGACTTCGGCTTGGTTTCTCCCCAAAGGTCAAGCCCCAAGCAGGTGGTGATCTGGGAAGACCTCACCCCTCACCACCTCGGCTGCCACTGCCTGGCTGCTCCCCTCAAAGCAGCAGAGTCAACACCCCAAAGCCAAGCTCCTGTTAGAACCCTGGCCCAGCCCAGCCCGTCCAGGAGCTCCTGGGGTTACGGCACACAGAGGCACTGAGGCACACCCCCGTGACTTGCTGCGGTTGTCATTATGAAAAGGGGCCTCCCTTCCTAAAAATCCAGTTCCTTAGAATCAGCCCTGACTCATGGCGACGCCACATGTGTCAGAGTAGAACCATGCTCCACAGGGGTTTCAGTGGCTGATTTTTCAGAAGCAGATCGCCAGGCCTTTCTTCCGAACCACCACTGGTTGGGATCGAACCTCCAATCTTTCTGCGAGCAGCCAAGCTTAACCCTTTGCACCACCCAGGGATGCCCCCTTCCTACTCATCCTTTTCTATAAAGACGCTGCTTTTTTTGAGACCCCTCAAATTAGCCACTCAGAATCGGATCAAGTCTCAGAAATTAATGGCAGCTAAGCTGAAAATCCACTCAGGGAAGTCCTACCAGCTCCAGACCAGTGAGCACTCAGTGCCCGCCAGCCCTGGGCTGAGTCAGCTTGCATTTGATCTCCAGGCTGCCAAGGCCTCTGGGCGCCACCCCAGCGAGAGCAAGGATGCATTCAGAAGCAACAGGCTCGACAGGCATGCGGGCACACGGCAGCCAGGGCCCTGCCATACCGTGCTGTTTGTAGATGGGGGGCTTCCTATAGATGTTATCTTTGACGCCGGTGTCTGGGAAAGAAGAGAAAACAGACAGGTGAGCGAGCAGGTTGTGGTGGTCATGTCCACAACAGTCCACTTACCCGACCTGTGATCGCAGAAGGCGGGCACCCGGCCCCGCAGACCAAGCGCCCCCTGGCCCGACATGCCACTGCTCGTAGCACCCCGCATGGAAGGGGACAGGCAGCTACCGGGGGCAGCAAGCAAGAACCCCGGGGCCCCAGCAATGCCGCCAACTCAGACAGCCTTCTCCCCAGCCCATTCCCGGAGGATGGACACAGTTTTCTGGGGTTTGAGGGGATTTGGGAGAAATTCAAACCCACGGCATGTTGTGGCTGTGTAAATCCATTTGCATGTTTTCAGAGAGTATCAGAATTTGGGGGAGCACTGGGGAGGCGTGGGAATTCTCGGGCGCCATGGGGCCAAGGCGAGCACCCGACCACTGAGCCGAGCACGGCAGTGGGTGGCACGCAGTCCTACCTGGGACGTGGAAGTGGCGCGGCGCCTGCTGGTAGGTGGAGGGAGGAGGCCGGCTGTCTGAGAGCACGGACAGGCTCGGGGTACTGCGACCACTTTCACTGCCTCCAGACAGAAGAGCAGGGACAGCGGACCCGAGGGGAGACGGAGAGCAGAGGAGAGTGTTTCAAGCACCGAAGCGGACCCCGGTGAGCCCCTCCCCTGCCCACGGAGCCCAGACCCTTCGACTTCCTAATCCAACGCTTGAGTCCAACACCTTTCAGCAGCCCCAGGGCACCAACGGCTTGGTGGGGACCTTGGCCAGCAGGCGGTGGCCAGGGCTCCCTGGCAGCATCCCCCATCCTTGGGGGACACACCTGGTCTGCTCCCTGTACCTGCCATGGCCGGCGTTTGAAGCTGACAGACCGCAAATTCACCGAAAAATCCAATGACTGGACCCTGACTCACAGTGACCCCGTGTGCGTCAGAGTGGACCTGTGCTCCACAGGGTTTTCAGTGGCTGATTTTTCAGAAGTAGATCACCAGGCCTTTCTTCCAAGGCACCTCTGGGTGGACTCAAACCTCTGTCTAACCTTTCTGTGAGCAGCCAAGCTTAACCCTTTGCACCACCAGGGGACGCCCTCTTCCTACTCATCCCTTTTGAGAAAGATGCTGCCTTCTTTGAGAGCCCCCAAATTCGCCACTCAGACTAGGATCAAGGCTCAGAAATTAACGACATCCATGCTGAAAAGCCACTCAGGGAAGTCCTACCAGCTCCACACCACTGAGCGCTCAGTGCCCGCCAGCCCCCACACTCCTAAAGCAAGCTCCTGAGTTCTCGGCATGTTAAATGGGAGTGTCTGGCTCTGGCTTCCCCGTCTCACCCCAGCTGCATCTGGGATTCCTGTTTCCACACAAGGTTGAATCATCAAGTCGAACTTCTGGATGGTCACAGTGACCGGGGTAAGCCCCTCCTCCCACACCTATTTACGGGATGGTGGGATGGACAGATGTGATGGCGTGGACGGTCTGATGACAACACACACATCTCATTTTAGGGGACACACACAGCACAGCCCGTTTCCTCTCCAGGTACCCCGGGAACCCCCATGGCGTCAGGCAACAGCTTGTTGAAGGGAAGAGGGGGCTCTCTTGACTTGTAAGCACCTCATTCGAGTTGCAGCAGCTCAGAGCCACAGGACGCCGAGTGACACTTTGGGCTTCACACAGGGGCTGTGTCAGAGCTGGGAGAGGACGGGCAGGCGGGGGCTGGGAGGAAGGTGCTTAGAACTGGCTGGGAACGTGTGTCCCCAGGAGCAGGACCTGCTGGGAACACGCAGGGGGCGGGGTGGGCTCGGCTCTGTGGACCCACAGAGGGGACGGCTGGCTCTAGCATCTTGGCGGGTGCAGGAAGAAGAGCTCCGCCAACATTTCCGTGCACAGCCATGTCGCCTCTTCCTTGTGGCCACATAACAATGAGGCACCAATTGGCCCCGCTGACCAGCGACACTTTAGACCCGTCCCTGCCTCTCACGCCTGAGGCCTGCTTTCCTGTAGCTGCCCCTCCAGCGCCGTGTCAAACGAGCCCCCTGGAATTTCACGAGACTCACAGAGCGGGCTTGCGCTCCTGGGGAGCCCCCTCCCACTCGCAGGAGAAGGAAGTCACACATCAGTTCCCACGCAGAGGCTGTGTCCGGTCCACCCTGAAGGCAGCAAGCACAGTGGACCCTGGCATCACACCTCCTGTCCGCGTGAGTCCGGGGGCACAGAGACGGTCACCCAGGACGGTGGACCCTGTGGACCCTGGGTCACACCTCCAGTCCGCTTGAGTCCGGGAGGGCAGAGATGGTCACCTGATGTCCTCACTGAGCGTGTAAGCTCTCTGCACAGCCTGCTCGCTGGGGGGCTGTCACAGCTCCTCTCTCCACGTCGATGTCACGGCCCCGTCCACTCAGTCTCACCCGCTTGGTGGAAGATTCCAGCACATCTCAGGGCTCCGAGCCGGGGATGCAGCCTCCCCGGAACTGCAGACAGAGCTCCGTGGAGGCGCACTCATCCAAGGAGGCGCTGCTTCCGTCAGATGCTCCGCAGGACCAGGATCCAGGGGCAGGTGTACTCTGGGGTCCTGGTCCCCAAGTGACAACCACGGCCGTGTCTCCCACGCCCTCAGCACGACGTCACTGACCATGATGGCCCTGTCACCTGGCCAGGTGTGCTGGCTTGGCATCCCCACTGGGGAGTGACTTGTTTTACCTTCCCATCTTGTCCCCTTTGGATGGACATCACCAAGCACAGCCCACTCTCAGGGCGCTGGCGGGGGCACTGCCTTGAGGGCAGGGCATCTCCATACATTATGGGAGGTTCTTCTGAAAGGGGGATTTGTCTCCTTTCTGCCATTTCTTTATTCAATTGTTTATTGGCATACGTATGAATGTTTATTTCACACTCTGGGTTATGATCCAGTACAACTCGATTATTTTGTAGATCAAATTGCGCCAGCTCTGGCCACAAGGAGCACTTAGACGGCTCTTGTTGAAGTTTTCTTCAGGTGGCCCTGAATCAAGACCGGCTCCCATCCACGTGCGAGGGTTTTGTTACACGCTAGCACGTGGGGGCATGGTCTCTGATGGTGTACGTCACTGCCCACTCCGCTGGGCTGGGGTGCCCAGGCATTGGGTCAAACTCGAGTCTAGCGGCTGCAGTGAAGTGTTGTGCGTGGTTAACACTCGAATCAGTTAGCTTAAGTAAAGCAGATCGCCCTCCACAGTGCGGTGGGCCTGATCCAGTCACTTGAAGGCCTCATGAGCAACAACTGAGGTTTCCCGAAAGAGGATTCTGCCTCCAGACTGCAACATGGACTTCCTGCTGGACGTCCAGCCTGTCACCCGGCCTACAGGTTTCAGACTCCCCAGCCCCACAGTCGTGTGAGCCGATTCCTTCAAATAAACTCTCTGCCTGTACAGGAGCCCTGGGGGCACAGTGGTTAAGAGCTCGGCTGCTAACCAAGAAGTCGACAGTTGGAATCCACCAGCCGCTCCTCGGAAGCCCTGTGGGGCAGTTTTACTCTGTCCTACAGGGTCGCTATGAGTTGGAATCGACTCGACGGCAACAGGTTTGGGTTCTTGGTTTGTGTGTGTATCCCGCTCCTGTTGGCTGTCTCTCCTGAGAGCCCTGACTGAGGTGCTATCTGAGCAGTCACCACAAACCACCTCGGGAGCTGCTGGCCCAGAGACCAGGGTACCTTTGAAAGCCAAGAAGCTGGCGCTCAGTGAGATCCAGAGGTGCCTCTGGTGGCACACAAGTAGGTGGGGGCAGGCCTAGAGTTGAGGCTCCAGCCTGAACCCCTTCCCCCTCACACCATATGGATGAGGACAGTCTGCTGGTCAGCGGGTCCTGAGCGGGTCAGCAGGGCCTGAGAGGGTCAGCGGGGCCTGAGCGGGTCGGCGGGGCCTGAGAGGGTCAGCGGGGCCTGAGCGGGTCGGCGGGGCCTGAGCGGGTCGGCGGGGCCTGAGAGGGTCGGCGGGGCCTGAGAGGGTCGGCGGGGCCTGAGCGGGTCGGTGGGGCCTGAGAGGGTCGGTGAGCCAGCTGCACACAGGCCAGGATGTGTGGAGTCCATCGGGTGGGACAAGTGGCATCGGGTGAAGGACAGGTCTGGTGTGGCCTCTGAGGTGGACCCCAGGGCACATGACCTGTGAGGCCTGGGTTGGGAACTGGACTCGGGAGCCTTGGTCTCCTCGGGGCCGAAGGCCGGGCTTCGGCCAGTCTCCCCTCAGGGCTGAGGGCCGGGCTTCGGCCAGTCTGAATGGGGTTGGGCACTCCCACGGTCTGTGAAGGGTCCCAGATAGCCGGGGGGGCCAGGCGGGGGCAGAGTGGGTGCCAGGCTCTCCCGACCCGAGGGGAGCGGCATGAGACAGTGCCCAGCAGGCAGGAAGGAACAGGGCAGGACGGCATTGAAGGCAGCAATCCGCACGGGCTAGCGCCCACCAGAGCCAAGCACGTGGGGTGCTCCCCCGCCTCCGGGAGGGACCCTCTGATGGTGACAGCAAGCCAGTTATGGAGCCACATTTTGGGGGGCAGAAGGGTGAGGGGGGCCTCTCTGTACTCTTCCCACCATCAGGGATGGACGGAGGGCCTTGCTCTCAAGCTGGGGGAGGGCTGGGCTGCCTGCCCCCACCACCCCAGCATAGCTTTGGGCTTAGGGCTCAGCCTGCCTCCCCTCACCTGGGAGAGGTGAGGACTCCCCTCGCCCGGGAGAGGTAAAGGCCGGGGCTCAGAGGCGGCCGTGGGAGAGGGCTGCCAGGGCCATGCCACCATCCAGCCAGCTCCCGGGGGGCTGCCAGGGGAGTGTGCATCCCACCGCCTGGCCTTGTCCTGGGCCACACCTCTGCCCAGGACCCACAGATGTAACAGCTCAACCCCAGCAGGGCCACACAGGCATGAGAGAACGCCATGCGGGTGACTCCCAGGGAGCTGGGTAGGTGCAGCAAGGCCTCGCCAGCTTCCCTTCTGCTCACAAACATCGACACGCCCAGAAGAGACCATGGCTGTGAGCACTGGCCACGAGGAGGTGAGGACGTCCGTGCCTGCAGTGGCGACGGGGACTCTTCTCAGCAGGAGCACAGACTGCTCAAGGCAAGTGATGGTTGTTCTTAGGGGCTGTCGAGGTGGCTCTGACTCATGGCGTCCTTGTGTACAGCAGAACGGAACGCAGCCTGGCCCTGCGCCGTCTTCCTGATGGCTGGGATGTTTGGTTCCGCCATTGTGGCTATCGTTCAGTCCATCTTACAGAGGGTCTCCCCTGTTTTCACTGACCCTCTGCATGATGTCCTTCTCCAGGGACCAGTCCCTTCTGCTAACACTTCCAAAGTAAGTGAGACCAAGTCTCACCATCCTCGCTTCCAAGGAGCATTCTGGCTGTACTTCTTCCAAGACAGTCTTGCTCGTTCTTCTGGCCGTCCACGGTGTATTCCATATCCTTCGCCAACACCATCATTCAAAGGCATCAATTCTTCTTCAGTCTTCCTTATTCATTGTCCAGCTTTCACATGCATATGAGGCCATTGAAAATACCATGGCTTAGGTCAGGTGCACCTTAGTCCTCAAAGTGACATTTTTGCTTTTTAACACTTTAAAGGACTTTTGTAGCAGATTTGCCCAGAACAATACCTTGTTTCATTTCTTGACTGCTCCTTCCATGGATGTTGACTGTGGATCCTAGTAGATTGAAATCCTTGACAACTTCAATTTTTTCTCCGTTTATCACGATGCCGTTCATCAGTCCAGGTAAGTGATCACCATGCACGTAAAAGAAATGGATGCAAGAGTGTACTTGTGACCAACACACACTTATGTCTGATACACCTGTGGGAGGGTCTTTCAGAGCCTTTTCCCATTCAGTAGGTGTGAGGAATGAGGAACTTGACCCACCCCCTGGGGAGTCGTCAAGAACATCAGCGCTGCTTCCTCTGATGCTCCAAGTGCCTTTCCACATGAGCACATGCTCGCCATTTTCCTGGATGCAATTCACATGCACGCAGATGTGCAGAAAGGGTGATCGTGGCTGGGTCTGCATCCTGGGAAGAACCAGGACTCAGGAACCACGCTGGCCTGGAGTGGCCCCTGCCCCCTCTCTGCCTAAGTTTCTTCCTGAACCCAAGGCTAACAGTCCCACACCTCACCAAGATTATGTGGGATATAACACAGATGACTCGGGTGCAGCACCTAGACCAGAGCCTGGCGGGTCCTCCTTCCCTCTTCCTACTGCTGTCCAGACCCGTTCCTCTCCATTCCCTCCCTGACATTACCAGCGATCTACGTCTTCCTTCTAGAACATTCAGACACGGACAGCAACGGAGCCAGACGCACAAGACACACACAGCAAGGGAGTGAGGGACGTGGGACAAGCGTTTCCAAAGCCATGCGGTGACACGGGACAGCGGCCACACAAGACGCTGGGACCACTCACAGCCCACAGCCCTGAGCGCCTTACCTCTGAAGTAGGGGACGTAATGATGTCGGAACGCGGAGGTGGGGCTTGGGTGTTGGGACAGGGACAGGCAGCTACTGGTACCAACACTCACAGTACCAGCTAGGGGCAACAGAGAGCAAGTCAGAGTCCACATCGGGACTGCAGACCACAAAGCCACAAAATATTCCTGGTCCCCACACTGCTAGGAACATTTTTGCATCCTCTTTGAGGAATGCACACCTTTTTGAGGCACCTGAAGGGGTCACTCAATGAGCTGTAAACCACTCTGCTATTGCTGCAGGTAGGTAGTAGGGCAGCTCTGGCCAGGTTGGAGAGGTGGTGGCCCCAGGGCTGCTGGGCGGGAGCCTCTGCTGCGTTCCAGAGCCAGAGCGACTCTCCCTGACCCTGCCCGGCGCTCGCTTTGGGGACTCTCTGGGGTCAAGGGCCCGGTTTGACACCCAGCTGAGATCCAAGCCTTGGCTGTCTACGGTTACCGCGAGCCAAGCACAGGAGCTCAAGCAACCCAGGTCATTGTGTCAACAGGGTGGCCAACAGGCCGATAAGGGGCCACCAGGGAAGGACCTCAAGGAAGTCAACTGACGTTCATCCACCAACTCACCCACCACCTGCTCACCACTCACTCACTCACTCATCTGCTCACTCATTCATCTACTCACTCATCTACTCCTTAACTCACTCACTCACACATCTGCTCACTCATTCACTCACTCACACCTACTCACTCATTCATTCACTCATTCACTCACACATTCATTCACTCACTCTCACGCATTCACACACTAACTCATTTGTTCACTCTCACTCATTCACTCATTCATTCACTCACTCATTCACTCACTCATTCACACACTTACTCATTTACTCACTCATTCACTCACTCATCTACTCATTCATTCATTCACTCATTCATCCACTTACCACTCATTCACTCACTCACTCATTTGCTCACTCATTCATTTGCACATTCATTAACTTACACACTCACTCATTCACACATTCATTCACTCCCTCATTTATTCACTGTCTCATTCATGCATTCATTAGCTCACTCATTCATTCACCCATCCATTTTCTCAACTTTTATTGAGCAGCATGTACCAGGTACATTGCAGGGAGTAAGAAAAATAACTTTGCCAATGAGTGAGTCTTGACTCTCCCATGCAGGCTGCATCAACGAGAACATAGCCCTGGGGTGTGAACAGGGAGTCACACACGAGCTGGCCGAGGAGGTGGCAGCTTGGAAAAACCCCTCAAAAAGGCAGCGTCCGTGTGGCTCTGACCCGCTGAGGGAGGCAAGGAATGTAGAAGCTAAGGGGGAGCAAGACACAGCCAGGTGCTGGGCGGTAAGTGGGATGAGACGGGGCAATAAGGACCCGCCTCAGGATCTTTCCTGCTCTGAGTGACTGGCAGTGGCTTCCCGCCAATTTCTCCATGGGGACGGGCTTTGCCGCCACTGAGCCCCTCTAGGGGAGTCACTGATGAGTACCCCAACTGTATTTTCTGGCTCAGGTCCACCTTGACCGCAAGAGCTCATGACTAACCCACTCTGGTCTCCTCCCGCGTACACTGCTCAGCCTCCCGCATACGCCGCTCAGCCTCCCGCATATCCTGTCCTTGAAATATCTGTAGGTTTCCAGCGCTCAGCACTCCTTTACGCCTCCACCGACAGGTGAGCCTCCCCCGCCCACACGAGAAGCCCCTCAATGGATGGGCCCTCAGCCATCCGCTGCCAACCCTGCACCATTCCCTCACTTTCCCAGCTGCTCACGGAGAGCCCACTCTGTAATGGAAAAGCCAGGAGCCACGTGGCCGCGTCAGAGGTGAAGGGGCCGTGGAGGCCAAGTACCTGGACGGCTGTAGTGCTGCGGGGACCGCGAGGGCGGGGTGTAGCGCCCGAGGCTGACTGACCCCGCGGAGCTCGGGCTGGAGGTCCGGCACTGCTTGTAGGACCGGTCTTCCTGGTCCCCCTGTGAGGAAAGACACAACCCATGAACGCCCCGCTCAAAGCCCTGCCGGCCCCTCCCCTCCACACCCCAACGTGGCTGACTCCACATGGCCCCGAGTAACCCCCACACATGCCAGGTCCACCTGAAGAGTGAGGTGTGGAGGGCTTGGTGCTGATATCCCCAGTTCCGAGGGCAGGGTCCCGCCCCACCCCTCCTCCCGCCCTTCCTGTGGGCTCAGCCCCCACAGAGGTGGTAGAAGCTTCTGGCTCCTCCTGCCTCCTCCAGCTCCCCTCCCGCCCAGCCCTCAGTGCCGGGGCTCCTCGGGACAGTTTGAGAGTCACCAAGTTTCCGTAGTCTCCCCGGTCCGAGGAGGGCTCCCCATGTGTGAACTGGACTCCAGGGCCCCCAAGGCATATTGGGAGCAGGGGTGCCCCCTCTGGACCCAGAAGCACAGCTCACAGAGGCAGACACACAGCACCGACGATGCAGATGGCATTCCGGCAGCAGCAGGCAGGGCGGGCGGAGGCGGCGTGAGAGGGATGTGGCATGGCCTGGGGAGGCAGCTGCCCGGACCCCACTACCTGGCAGGCTGGCATGAGGGTGGCAAGCCCACCTGGCCTTCCACTGGGTGGTGACCCTCTGCCACGCCCCCCAGGTCAGCGCCATTAACAAGCAGTGCAAGGTCCCTCGGCCTCTCCAGCTTTCCTTCCTCCCCCAGGGCCTGTCCCCAACCAGATGGGCCTGGCCACTGTCCCTGAGCATATTGGGCACCCATTCCTCGTCTCACCCACACTGGGCCCCCGGCTGGCAATGCCACCTGCCAGTCCTGCCTGTGCTTCTCTGGGCTCCCTGGCTGTCCCTCATGGCGGTGGGCCCCCTCCCGGGGCGTCTGGAGCCCTGGCTGTCCCCCCCATCTCTAGGGTGTCCTCTGCACAGTGCTAGAGGCTGGGTTACCTCGTAAGGGTCCTATCCGACACCTCACAGGCTGTACCCAGGTCGCCAGCCGGCACATGGTTGTGGGAGCCTAAGCCAGCCGGCTACTCGCACGGCTTGGTGCCTGCGTCCCCTGGTCCCAGCATCTGCTGGCTGGCTAGCTCTGGTTTTGCAGATGGGCAGGCTGCTCCCAACAGAACCGCACTGTCGGGGCTGAAACAGGGCCCCTCCACTCCCGTCCCTGCATTGCTTCTAAGGGGGGGAATGTTAGGGTGTCGGTGGAGAAGCTGGGCAGGGGCTCTGCTGAAGGTTCTGGTTCTCCTGGGACCAGCCCGAGGGCCGGGACAAGGGCCGGGAGCGCAACACTGGGGTCCTGGTGCCATGCGAGCAGAGGGGCCCTGACGCTGGCACTGCACCACCCCCACTGCCCCAGCTCCAGGTCCACGGCCCAAGGAGGGCACTTGGCGATCAGAGCAGACCCTCAGAAAGAGAGTGCCTGGGGAAGACCAATAACCTGCCCTGCAGACGCAGCCGCAGTCTTCCTGTGGGGTCACCGTGCCAGTGAGTGCAGTCTCCAGGGCCCCCATACATAGGGACTGATTCACGGGGCCATTCACAGGGTTCGCGAGGGCATGGGGACACTCAGGCCCTGTGCACTAACCTGTCTGGGCTGAGAGGCAGTGGGCCTGGTGCGGTGAGACTTTGGGAAAGTTATCTGACTTCCCCATGCCTCAGTTTTCCCTATCGGTAAGCAGGGGAAAACCCCAGAATGTATCTCTTGGGGTCTGTTATGGATTGAATTGTGTCCCCCCGAAAATATGCGCTGTAAATGCTAACTCCTATACTTGTGGTTCTAATCTCATTTGGGAACAGCATTTCTTGCTATGTTAAGGTGGTCTTAGAGCAGGGTGTATCTTAAATCAATCTCTTCTGAGCTACACAAGAGCAGATTAAGCAAGCAGGTAGAAATGGGGGAGGATAGACATCACGTGGAGATCACCAAGGAACCAAGGAACAGAAGCTGAAAAGAGACCAGGACCTTCCCCAGAGCCGACAGAGAGAGCCTTCTCCTAGAGCCTGCGCCCTGAATGCAGAATTCCAGCCTCCTAAACGGTGGAGAATACATTTCCGCTCTCTGAGGCCCTCCCATGTGGTGTCTCTGTTATGGCAGCACTCAGACACTAAGACAGCGTTGTTGCAGGATTTGATGAGCAAATACTAGTTGTCATAGTTCGAATTATGTCCCCCAAAAAATGCGTGTATCAATTTGGCTGAGCCATGATTCCTGGTACTGTGTGATTTTCCTGTATGTTGTAAACCTGCCTCTGTGATGTTAATGAGGGAGGATGGGTGGCAGTTGTGTTAGTGAGGCAAGACCTGGTCTACAAGACTGGATTGTGTCCTGAGGCAATCTCTTGAGATATAAAAGACAAAAGTGAGCAGTGAGACAGGGGGACCTCATACCATCAAGAAAGCAGTGCCAGGAGCAGAGCACGTCCTTTGGACTGGGGTCCCTGTGCCGAGAAGCTCCTAGTCCGGGGGAACACTGATGAGAAGGCCGAGAGAGAGAAAGCCTTCCCCTGGAGCTGACATCTTGAATTTGGACTGTTAGCCTATTTTGACTGTGAGGAAATAAACTTCTCTTCATTAAAACCATTCACTTGTGGTATTTCTGTTATAGCAGCACTGGATGACTGAGACAATAGTGAAGTGCTCGAAACCTCACTGAGCACAGAGTAGGTGCTCAAGAGGGAGGCTGTTGTCCCCGTCCCTCAGTGCTGGCTACAGTGAAACCCAGATCTAACAGGGAAAATGAGGCCTGACTGGCAGCTATCCACATCACTGACTCATTCTGAAAAACGAGAGAAAAACGGGCTAACAACAGACGTGTTTGATGCGCGAACAATTCCAGAGCATTTCTCCACTAGGACCGGGCGCGTCCGTGTTCCTCACCCAGAGAGATACAGGTGGGACCTGCGCTGGCCTGAGCTCCCGAATCTCTTCTCTAAATAAAACCGGGGCCTAGGCACTGTCGGCTCGGGCAAGACCTGCGATCCCCAGGCATCCGCGCTTGCTGCATGCAGATGAGATGGGATTATAAAAATAAGCAGCGCCAAGGAGGGCCCCGGCCCCCTGCCAGGAGCCGGGGGGTCCTGCTTGGGGTGCCCTCGGCTGTTATCTTTATAAGCTGGGGGGCGTGAGGCAAACACGGGGGTAGGCGGGGTGGTGTTACCTCAGCAGGCGTTGGTGAGAGCAACTGAAGGGGCTGTGGGCACAACACAGAGTGGCTGTTAGTGCTGCGGTCCCTGTGCGGGTGCTGGGCAGGGGACCGTTCAGTGGCCGCCACCGGCCAGCAACACAGGACTCGGACATAGGCACACTTCAGGGCCTTGGCCCTCAGCCACCATGAGACACACAAACAGGCTTCCAGAACCTTGTGTTTGGGGAAATATGGCCGGAGTGCCCAGAGAACGAGGTCCCAGAGAAACACGTGTCAAGCTGAGGAGCCTGGGGCTTGTCCCCGCCCTTGCCCACTCAGCAGCCCCTGAACTGATTCCACCTCCTGACGCCCCCACGCGTGTCAGAGTAGAACTGGGCTCCATAGGGTTTTCAATGGCTATTTCTCAGAAGGAGATCACCAGGCCCTTCTTCTAAGGCACCTCTGGGCAGACTCAAACCTCCAACCTTTTAGTTAGTAATCCAGCATGTAACCCTTTGCACCACTAGATATGTTTTTCCAAAAGGAAGACTGTTCTTCCGGGGCAGGAGCAGCAACATCCTGAGAGACCATCACCCCCAGGTTTCCCCAGAAAGGAGGGGCAAGGGGGCTCAGCAGAAAGGGAGGGTGATTCGGAGTCTCAGAGCTTGGGGTTCAACCTGGCTCTGTGGGCGGCACTGGGGCATGGGTTGCTGGCATATCTGAGTCCACGCAGCGCTCCCATCAATCATGGCTCCCCTGGACCCTCCACCCTCACTTCCCAAGAGACCCTCCAGTGGCTCTCAAAAGCAGAAGGTCCAAGGGAACCACTGGGGAGTGCTGGGGTCTCCCTGCTCCAGGCGGCACCCCCGTCGGTCACACGGCCCTCTCAAAACCACACAGAGAAACAAGCCACCAACCGACCTCACTTCAGCTGGAGAAGAGCAGCTCTTAGCAAGGAGCCAAACCGAAACCAAGCCACGGCGACCCTGGGTGTGTCGGGGTAGAACCATGTGCCACGGGGTTCTCAACGGCTGATTGTTTGGAAGCAGATCGCCAGGCCTTTCTTCTCTGGTACCACCAGGTGGGTTTGAACCACCAACCTTTAGGTTTGCAGTCGAGCAGAAACCATCCGTACCACCCGGGGACCCCTGGGTGATTAATTAGGTGAGACGTGTGTGAGGCTGTCTGAAGGGGCAGGAAGAAGGCAGACGCCCGGGAAGGGGCCTCCGGTTTCCACGCCTGATACCCAGGGCTGGATCAGCCAGTAAGTAAGGTGCACGTGGGTCCAACTATGCCTTCCCAGCAATCCGCAGTGCAGCTTCACCTGTCCCCCACGTCAAAGACGTAGTAAGACCCGTGTGAAACTGCTCACCATGGATTAGCAAGTGAACACAATTAACCTGTGCGTACCTTGCTTGATGCAAGCCAGTGCATACCGCGCTCACTGGTTAATCCACCCCTGCGTATACCCACTAGGTGTGCCCCCACCCCTGCCGGCCAGGGCTGGCCTGCGGTGCGCACCTCGCCGTAGCTCTGCCGGTCGCCCGCGTAGCTCTGCCGGTCGCCCGTGGAGTGGCTGATGTAGGGCGAGTAGGAGATCATGTCCGGGCGGTCAATGTTGTAGATGGCCTTGTTCTTCGGCAGGGCGGCCAGGTCCCTGTAGTCCAGGATCTCATTACCGAGCTTGGCCTGCAGAGTGGGAGGACAGGGTTAGGGAGGACCCCTGACGGGAGGGCAGAGGGGGAGGACAGGGCTGGGCAGGACCCCCAAGGGGAGGGCAGCCTTCATGTGGCCAGATTCGAGGAGGACGCCCATGGCACACCACCCAGAGGTGGGTGGGAGTGCACCCCCAATATTGTGGCCGGGGTGAGACGGGCTCAGAGATCATATGGGCCTGGGTCTGGGGGCCCAGCTACTAAAGAGCCCCATAGACTGAGAATGTGCCCTTTCCAGCCTGGGCATCCTCTGCAAGGTGGGGGCTTGATCACAGGACAGCTCCAGGGGCAAGAGGTCAGGCCCAGGACGCACCTGGGACAGTGCCTGGTGACCATGGCTGGAGATAGATTACCGTGACAGTGACTGTGTGTGCCCATATAAATACCTACATCCATCAATACCTACATCCATCAATACCTGCATCCATCAATACCTGCATCCATCGATACCTGCATCCATCAATACCTGCATCCATCGATGCCTACATCCATCGATGCCTGCATCCATCGATACCTACATCCATAGCTACCTATGTCCATAGATACCTACATACACACACCTGCCTGGGACTGGAGGTGTAGATATTTACACACTCACCCACCCACCCACACTCACCTGCCCCTCCCACTCGCTCACACACACTTGCACACCCACCCACCCTCACCCCCCCACACACTAGTGCACATATTTGCACAACCACCCACTTACACACGTGCTTGCACACACCCACTCAACACTAACACATACGCTTGCACACCCACTTACACACACTCACAATGCCCTCCTGCATTCTCACACACTAATGCACATATCTGCACACAAGAGTCCACACTCAGCACCTCTGTGCACAGTGCCCGTCTCCCGGGCCGGCTGCGGCACGGCCCCCGTGGGGCGGAAAGCCCCTCTCCGTGCCGCCTTCCCGCGCCTGCCCCGGGCGCTCCCTCCCTCCCTCCAGCTGGTGGGCTCATGCCGCCGTGGCTCCCTGTGCCGTCCAGGTGGGCAGCACCTGGGAGTGCTCCCGGCCGCGCTGTCGCCCTCTGTAACTCTCCTCAGCTTCTCCCTGCATGGCCCTGCTCATAGCTGTGGCCACCTGTCCCCTTCTCCCAGCTCTGTGAGTCCCCAGAGTGGGGCAGAGGCCTTGCTCTGGCTACTGGGCACTCCCACACTGAGCACTGGACAGAGGCCGGTCAGAGGCGCCATGTGGGGCAGTCTCCCGCCCAGCTCTGGCCTCGGTATCGCCACCCCAGGCCCATCTGAGCTCCCACCCACGTGACAAGACCCCAAACCCCATACTTGGTCTTGCACCCCCGAAGCGTCTGCTGAGCTCTTGGGCAGACGTGAACCTGCGGGGTGAGCAGACATGGGTTCTTACCACTTGCTGCACACGGGCCCCTGTCCCTGCTGGATCTGCCCTTGGGGACCCCTCCCTCCCCTCCGACGTGTCCCCCTCCAAGGTAGACCCAGCACGGTCCGCCATGGCTGCCATGGGCAGAGTTGGCTTCTCGGGTGGCCCCGGGGAGCTCGGCTCAGCCGTGACACCACAGTTCTCCTCGGGCTTCCCCGGACACCGCCCTGCCGAGAGCCGACCGCCCTCCAACACCTCCCGGAAAACGCCCCATGCTCTAACCCCCAGATAGGTGCTAAGCGGCTGTGCTCGGGGCCCCTCGGCATCTGCTCTGCCTGAGCGGCTCCACTGTCCACCATCTGTCGTCCCGAGGCCGAGGGCTCAGGGCAGGGCTGTGACCACGGGCCACTCGTGGGCAGAAGGCCACTGGGGAGTGAGCCGTAGAACCGTTGTTTCTCGCCCATGCTCCATCCGGCATGATTAATAACAACGATGATGCAGCCGCATGTTACAGTTACAATGGAATCTGCCAGCAGTAATATACATAATCTAACACTGTTGCCGTAGGCTGTCCTGCGGTTGCTGTTGTCACTGCCGTGAGTCAGCCCGACTCATGGTGACCCCACGCACAGTGGAACACCGCCCAGCCCGCCACCACCCCTGTGACTGGTTGCAGATGGAGCCATTGTGATCCACTGGGTTTTCATTGGCTGATTTACTAAGTAGATGACCAGGCCTTTCTTCCTAGTCTGTCTTAGTCTGGAAGCCCCACAGAAACGTGTTCAGCATCACAGCAACACACAAGCCTCCGCTGACAGACGGGGGTGACTGCACGTGAGGTGCACTGGCCGGGATGGAACCCGGGTCTCCTGCACGGAAGGTGAGAGTTCTACCGCGGAGCCACCAGTGCCTCTCGTTACGCCCACTCATCGCTTTTTGAGGAAGAAAGGTCACAAAACAACACGCTCCGTGTGACCTCATTTTGTGATGAAGTCTCTCTCACACACTCACACACACACACACACACACACTCTCAATACAGTCACACATACATGCTCTCATACACACACACATGCTCGCTCACACATACACATACACGCTAACACACGCTCACAGTCCCACATACACGCGCACACACATACGCATATATACTAATGTACACGCTCACACACACACATACACGCTCATGCACACATGCTCACACACACACTCACAAACATTGTCACACACACGCACACACGCTTACACACGTTCACACACACACACTCATGTACACACATTCACACACACACACTCACACACACACACACACACAGAAAAGAGACCTAAAGCACATGCCCCAAAACGCGACCACGGCTACTCCAGCTGGTGGGATAACACATGGATTAATTTGCTCCTGTGTGCTGACTGCTGTTTTCAGATGGCTGTGAATTACTCTGGTAATAAGGAACACAGACAGTAAAATCTCCCAGTATTTTTTAAAGCCCACAATGCACTGAGCACCGGCTGTGTGCACACCTTACCCTTGATGCCAAGATGCACGCAGCTGGGCCCCTGCCCACCAGGCGCTCTCAACCTGAGGGTGGGGACGTAGCCCCCTATGAATCCCACAGCCACCTTGTGTATGAGGACATCATGGGGGCACCCCTTCCTGGCTAGGGGGAGGAGGACGCTGCCCTCAATGCCCCCAACCTGTGCACACAGGTGAGTACCGGGCACCAGTGTTCTTTACGTCAGTCCTGAGCTGTGCGTGGACAGGATCTGGGGGTGAGGAGTCTGGCCCTTGTCCTGGTTCCTGGGAGGTGACCTCCAAACCCTTGGAATTCCTGGAGTGAGTAGAGAGTCTCTGTGATTCATATGGGGCCCTAGTGGCACAGTGGTTAAGAATTCGGCTGCTAATCAAAAGGTTGGCAGTGCAAATCCACCAGCAGCTCCTTGGAAGCCCTATGGGGCACTTCTACTCTGTCCTACAGGGTCGCTATGAGTCGGAATCGACTCAACAGCAATGGGTTTTTTGGTTTGTGATTCATACAGGGTGCTAGAGCACACCTCAGAGTTTATGTTAATGTATCCATACCTGAGTTTATGCTAATGGTGACCACACCTGAGTTTATGCTAATGGTGACCACACCTGAGTTTATGCTAATGGGACCACAGCTGGGTTTATGCTAATGAACCACATCTGAGTTTATGCTAATGGGACCACACCTATGTTTATGCTAATGGAACCACACCTGGGTTTATGCCAATGAGATGACCACACCTGGGTTTATGCTAATGGTTGGGGCTGGTCTTTCCAGAAAGATTCATCACGTGATATTAGCCCAACCTCAGGGGAGGGGGCTGGAGGCTGAATTCAGCTGCGAGGTTTCCCCAAACGACATCCATGTAATGAACCCTAATACAAGCTCTGGACACTGAAGCTCAGGGGAGTGTTCTGGTTGAGGACAGACGCCGGTGCACAGGCAGTGACCATCCCTGGGGACATGGGAGCTGCACGTCGGGGACCCTCCCAGACTCACCCTGTGCATCTTGTCTTCATGTCGGGCCAGAGTCACACCCTTCCGAGTAAAACTGCAATCATAAGCCTCGCGCTCTCCTGAGTGTGTGAGCTGCTCTAGCGAGCTGCTGAGCCCCTGAATTTGTACCCAGCAGGTCAGGAGTGCAGGTGTCCCCAGGGACCCTCGACCTGGCGTCTGGTGTCTGGGGAGGACTAGAACTAAACCGTGAGGTTTGATGTAATCCCTGGTGGTGAGGATCAGCGGAGCCGACTCTGCGGGGTCCCCTGAGACCTGGTGTGCCCTGCAGGGGGTGGACCATGTGAAGAGCAGGCGGGCCTGCAATAAGATGGCTTTCCGCATTAAGGAGGGACACGCAGTGCATGCCCCGCCCAGCCCTGATGCAAACCTGACATGGGAAGAGAGCTCCCGGCTCCAGGGCCGTCTGCCTGGGGGGTCAGGACATACCCAGGCTCTGTGCTGGCCATGGGGACCAGACATACTGAGATGTGGGACCCACGCCCGTGTCTCCGAGCCACACCATGAAGTAGCACAACACGCCCACCCAGAGACGCCCACCTCATGGGGGCGCTCAGGCCGAGAGAAGGTACCGTATTAAGCTCCCTGCACCCCCCGAGCCCTCTCCTGTGGGCCTGGGACCTGAGGCAGTGCTGGCTCCCCCATGTGATAAACCAGCACGGGGGTTCAGATTCAGGAGGCCAGGTGGAATTCCCGTGCGGGAGCCTCTGCTCAGGACTGGAATCCAGGGCAGATGTCTGATCAACAGGAAGTTGATGCCCTGAGAAATAGCACATGCAATGTCCTGGGTTGGCCTTGGTCTGTGCATGCCAGGCCAACATCCTGCCCTGCTCCTGGGGCCACATGCTCAGCATCTGTCTGGCCCCACCCTCGCCTGGAAGCCCCAACGGCAGGGTACGGACTGGTCCCCGGGGCCCAGTCACTGCCTGGTTTCAGCACCTAGTAGTGGGGTTCCCTGGAGAGGACCCACGCTCTGGGACCCCGGGGTCCTGGGTGCGATGCCCAGCTGTGCCTCTGGCTGCTGCAAGGCCTTGAAAACAAAAGCACATGTCACCGGTACGGCTGTTACCACCCACGCCATGGCTGCCGGCTGCCGGCGCGCCTCGCCCTGTGCTGACACAGTTTTGTTTAAAATCACAGGCGCTCCTGCGTATTGAGCAGTTGGGGGCTGTGTTTGCTGCAGTTAACACCACAGGAGAATCTGGTCAGACGTGTGTGCCCACGGTGAAGGCCTTACTCCAGCCTCAGGGAATCTGCCTGGTTTCCACCGGCCAGCAGTGGTGACAGTGACCGTCCCACACCCCGAGCCGTGGGGATGACAGAGTTACCAGCTGGCCCCAGCCCCAGGGCTCCGCCACCCACCTGCCACCTGCCCGCCTGCCCGCTCTGGGTGGAGAGGACACTACTCACGTATATCACACGGCTGGGGGACCCCAAGGTGCTGGACGCAGGCACAGAGATGATGCTCTCCGAGGAGGTTCTGGTTTCCTGGGAAAGGAGACAGAGGCAGAGATCCAACACAAGAGTCACCATCAGGAACCTCTGGAGAGCAGGTACCACAGGCCACATTCAACGGACATGCCAGCCATCAAGGTGCTTTACTGAATTTGCAGGCAAAAAGAATTCTTAAACACAGGCCTGGAGAAGGACTAGAAAGTGTCTCGGGACAGACGACTCGCAGCGCTGTCTTTGGGATGGAGGCATAGTATGCTGACCACGCTATCTAAGTCTAATTCAGATTTCTAGACTAACAGCTATGTTTTTCCTTGGCGGTCAAAACCAAGATATGAAACCAGATGCCCCCAGAGGTCTTAGCCTAGTGTCATGAATTGAATTGTGTCCCCCAAAATATGTGTCAGCTTGGTTAGGCCCTGATTCCCAGGATTGTGTGGTTGGCCTCCATTTTGTGATTGTAATTTTACATTAAAGAGGATTAGGGTGGGATTATAACACCCTCACTAAGGTCACACCCCTGATCCAAAGTAAAGGGAGTTTCACTGGGGTGTGGCCTGCACCACCTTTTATCTTACAAGAGATAAAAGGAAAGGGAAGCGAGCAGAGAGTGGGGGGCCTCATACCACCAAGAAAGCAGTGTTGAGAGCAAAGCATGTCCTTTGGACCCGAGGTCCCTGCGCTGAGAAGCTCCTAGTCCAGGGGAACATTGATGAGAAGGCCCACAGAGAGAGAAAGCTTTCCCCTGGAGTTGACACCCTGAATTTGGACTTGTAGCCTCCTAGACTGTGAGAGAATAAACTTCTCCTTGTTAAAACCATCCACTTGTGGTATTTCTGTTACAGCAGCACTAGATGACTAAGAAACCAAGCGACCATCTATCCCCCTCAAAATACATGTACTCAGGAAGAGTGTTGTCTGGGCACTGTGGCCACAAGGTGTGCTTGTGAGACAGACGAAGAAAATACGCATAAGCATCTTGTGACCACGCTCTAAGCATCCTGTGAAACTGTCTGTACTCGCTAACTATACTATTAATAATCAGTAACAATCAGAGTGTGGTTATTACAATATTTACTGATTTTCCTCTAATTGCCCTCCCTACGGTTTGGGCACTCTTTCTACCCCATAAGAATACTTACTTGTATAACGAAGTTCCATTTTCCATGGCTATGCAGTTCCCCAACTGCAATTGTTTTAAACACTTCCTAAACCTCTGTTTTAACCTGAAGCAGCTTTCAGGTTTTTCTCTACAACAAAAGCTATCATCAGACAGACATAACGGATGACACGGGCTACAGGCCAAACGATAACGGGCTCAGCGCCAGCTGGAAACACCTTGAAGACCCCTGGGTGGTCCAGGAGCCAGGGGAGCAAGTGATTCTGCTAGTTCCTGAGACAAAGGCCGTCCTTGTGTGCCCACGACTGAACTCCTCGGTGGGAGAAGGGGCATTGGACCTTGTTCTACTTGGAGTCCCTGGAGGTGCAAACAGTTAAGCACTTGGCTGCTAACCAAATGGTTACAGGTTCCAGTCCACCCAGAGAAGCCTCAGAAGAAAGGCCTGGTGATCTACTTCAAAAAAATCAGCCACTGAGAAGCCTACGAGACACAGTTCTACCTGACGCACACGGAGCCACCCTGTCAGGGTCGACTCGCCAGCAACTGGTATACCAGCCAACCCACACAACATGCATCTCTCTATCTACCTAGAGTTCCAGGGTGGTGCAAACAGTGAAACTGCTGGATTGCTGATCAAAAGGTTGGAGGTTCAAGTCCATCCAGAGGGGCCTTGGAAGAAAGGCCTGGCAATCTACTTCCAAAACATCAGCCGCTGAATACTCTACGGAGCACAGTCCTGCTCTGACACTCACGGGGGTCGACTCAATGACGACTGGTTTTTGGCGGCTCCTTGTTCTTCCAGCCCAGAGCTCTCACGGGGCTGGTCCCTGCTGCCAACCTTTGGGACGGTCACAGTCACCCCACAGACCACACTCCATCCCGACTGACCCTTCGTACCCCCAACCCCTCCTTTCCCCAGAACAAAGCCCCTTGCACTGCCCCCCCCCGGCACCTGTAACAATCCCCATTCTGCTCCCCGCCCCCCAGATGTCTTAGAAACAGCCCCTGGGAGGCCACCGCTGACCACACTGCCACGGTGGCCCTGAATCCTGTCTCCTGTGACCTGAGTCTTCCTCCCGGCCCTGCCCCGCCTGCCCCTGACGGTTCCTGGCCACCTACCTCGCCCTCAGACGCCCCTCCACCAGCCCCTACCCCTCGCGGCACCTGGTCCACCACCCCCAGGTGGGCGAGACCCATGCCGTCCCCCACCCTGCCTCCACAAAGGACCCCCAGCCTCTCAGCCCCAACCTCAAATGTCCCCTACCTGCGCGCCCATGTGCTCCTCCGGGGGGACACTCCCCCTCTTCCTGGGTCCCCCACCACTCTGCCTCCTCTCATTTTCTAGCCGATTCCTTCCCTCCTTTCTATCCTCACCACCCCCTGCCCCGTGTTTCCGTCCAGCCCACCCACTGCAGCCGGCAGCCAGGGAGGGCCGTGTGATAGAACCGCATCCCAAGCTGCCAGCCAGCATGGGGACAAAAAGTGCCTACAGTCAGCAGGACATGGTGAAGACAGGGACTCACAGGACAGACGTGGGCTTCTGAAAGATGGAGCCCGAGCTGGAGTCTCGGATATGAAGCCACCAGCCAGCTCCCAGCGAGGACCCAGCCTGCGTCGGGTGCAGGCTAACCCCACACAGCAGCTGGTCTCACTGGGCAAAAGCCTTTCAACCTGACTTACAATCTCTCACAGAAACTTCTAGAAGGAACCACTTCCTGCTGGAGTCTCACCGCCCGAAGACCCAGGGCTGGCAGCAGCAAGGGCTGGAGGTGAGTGAGGGGCTGGTGGCTGGGAGTCTGTTGCAGGGGACGCCGAGGCTGGACTGGGAAAACCCCAGCAGATGAGCCCTTCCTGGGACGGGACACCCGCCAGCGCGTCTGTAGGTGATGGCTACAACCAGCCCCTCCCTCCCGTGCACGCCTGCCCAGCGCCAGCACCCATGCCTGCTCCCAGTTCACCGGCATAAAGGCACGGTCCCTCCCTGGTCACCAGGGCTCAAGACCCACTTCTGGAATCCCCAGACCTGCTGAAGTGGACTGGAGGTGCCGTGACAGGCATCTTTTGTGTCGGGCAGGGGATGGTTAAGTACTGCCTCATTTTACCAGAACTGGAGGGTGCCTGGCTACCGTTACTGAATGTTTTACTCAAAGATTCTATAGAAGAATCCCGATCAAAAGGGGGAAAACATGGAACAGAATTTCAAATTCTCATTGACTCCAGACTTTCTGGCGCCATGGGGGCTGGATGAACCCCTGAAACTATTGCCCTGAGATAATCTTTAAACCTTAAACCAAATATGTCCCCTGAAGTCTTCTTTAAACCAACAATAGTTAGTTTAACTAGTAAAGAATGTCTGCCTTGAGCATTATGCTCCTTTAAGACCTATCTATAAGGAATCAGATTTGACAACAGCAACTCAGAAAATTAGATAGAAATCTTAGGAGGCAGTGAGCTTATGTTAACGTGGGAAGAACAGCTCAGAAAAGGAGGGTGAGAATGGCTGCACAACTCGAAGAATGTAATCAGTGTTCCTGAAACGTACGTGAAGAATTTGCTGAACTGGTGTATGTTTTGCTGTGCATATCTTCAACAACAACAATTTTTGAAAAAGTAAATTAAAATAATAGCACATATCTAAAAAAAAATTGCCTCATTTTTATTACATGGAAAATAGACTGTCACTCTGCCCTGTCTCCCAGCTCCCCTGTCGCCTGGCTGTGATGCTGGGCAGGTCCCTGGTCTCCCTGTGCCTCAGTTTCCTCATCTGTGACATGAGGATAACAGCACGATCGATTGCACAGAGTCACTGTGAGAAGTAAGCGGGGCGACATATACAAAATCTGAAGCCCAGGGCCTGGCATGTCGGTGGGAAGGAGGGAGAGAGAGACAGACAGACAGAGAGATAGAGAGAAAGGGAGAGACAGAGAGAAAAAGAAAGGGAGAGAGAGAGAGACAAAGGGAGAGAGAGAAAGAAAGGGAGAGAGGGACAGACAGAGAAAGAGAGAGAGAGACAGAGAGAGAGAAAGGGAGAGACAGAGAAACAGAGAGAGAAAGGGAGAGAGAGAGACAGAAAGGGAGACAGAGAGACAGACAGGAAGGGAGACAGAGAGACAGAAAGGAAGAGAGAGAGAAAGGGAGAGAGAGAGAGAAAGGGAGAGAGAGAAAGGGGGAGAGAGAGAGAAAGGGAGAGAGATAGATATAGCAAAAAGGGGAGAGAGAAAGAAAGGAATAAAATAAAAGGAGAGAAAGAAAAACCAAGAGGAAGAAAGGGAACAGGGAAAAGAAAAGAAAAAGAAAGAAAGGAAGATTATATGTGTTACGGATGGAATTGTGTTCCCCAAAAAGATATTCTGAAGTCCTAACCCCAGTACCTGTGAACATGACCCTGTTTGGAAATAGGGTCTTTGCAGATGTTATCAGTAAAGTTAACATGATGTCATAGCTGAGTTTGGTGGGTCCTAATCCTATATGAGTGGTGTCCCTATAAAAGAGAAGAGACACAGAGACAGAGACACAGGAAGGACGCCATGTGACGCTGCAGCCGCAGCCCAGGAACGCCGGGATCCACTAGAAGCCGGGAGAGAGGCAGGGACAGCTTCTCGCTCAGAGCCTCAGAAGGAGCCAACACGGCCAACACCCTGATCTCGGCCTCCCCGCCTGCAGAGCCCTGAGACAGTGAATTTCTGTTCTTATACGCCCCCTAGTGTGGTATTTTGTTACTGCTGCCCCAGAAGACTCAGACACTGTGTGTCTGCATTTTATACACTAACAAATCCCTTTGAGTCTCAGCTTCCTTGTCCGTGTGGGATTTGGAGGGTCTGAGGATGAAGTCAGGTTAAGCACTTAGCACAGACAATGATCAGGACGACAATTTCAGTTCAAGTTGGCCTCATCAGAAGACCTGACAGAGAATACC